GCATTATGTATGTCGCAAAGCGAGTCCGAGATTTGGGCCATGGCGAATTACTGTAAGTACAACACTCTTGGCTACAACAAACAGATCTGACCAGTTCGTCTAGCGATCAATACAGCGTCAAACGTGCTAATGGTCGTCTTTGTTTTACCCATCGCCGTCGGCACTCCTTCCAATCTTGGAGCCAAGCTACACATCCTCGCAGTTCTATTATTGGGTCTCTTGTATGTTCTCATAGTTCACAAAGGTGCCGCTAGAGTATTGACCGTTAACACATTCGCAGTGTATGCGCTGTGGCCATTATCAGAACCCGAACGGTCTACACCTCTTGGGGTCACGTCGGCCATCGCAACAACTTCGACTTGAATTTCACTACCTGGGGCATGATCGAATTCCTAGCTGCCATGATAGCCGTCAACCTCAGTACTTTGGTGCCTCTTGGTAGAGCGATCCGCGATCCCCTCGATACACCCCGCAAAGCCCCGCGTGTGGCCGCCATCTCTGGCCCCATCGCCGGCAGCACTGTTCACCTCATTCACGGCGATGTCGACGACCTCGTTCCCAGCTACTCCGAGTCTTACGAATCGGAGATGGACGACTCCTACAACTCGTATAACTCCCGCTATTCTGGCCAAACAGTCATCTACCGCCCTGACACAGCATACTTCCCCTCTCACGGCCATAACAACAACAGCCTAACACGCTTTCACGACGACGAATCTAACCTTGACTTCGACATCGAAGCACCTTCGACGCGATCCAGCCCTCGTAGGGTCACAAAACCAGGACCCTCTTCGCGCTTCTCCGTATCTACAGTCAGCACGCGTAGAGTGAGCGACTGGTCACAGCTCAGTGGCTTCACATACTCCCCGCCCAAAGACTCCGATGCCGAGTTCGAAAAAGCGATGAGCGGAAGAGCGAGGATTAGTGCGGCGGAGCTCGAAGAGATTGTCAAGAGCCTAGGATTGAAGAGGCAAAGCAGCCACGAAATCTGGGACAAAGAGATTGGTCTCTTCGAAGAGAAGAGCGAAGACGGAGGAAGCTCCGTCGCGCCCACGATATATCTGGAAGACGACGAAGACGCCGTTGACAGTGCCGGAGTGCTATGCACATGCCCAGCACCACGGGTCAGGAACGGCGATGCAGGTGAATCTGCACTACAAAGCGAAGCAGACTCGAGCGAGATCACCGTGATCCGCATACGTGGGACAGCTAAATGCAGTCTCCACAAACCCCTACCGCGCATTCGATCCCGCGAATGGCTCGCGCGCGGATAAAACAGCTACAGCAGCTCATATTTTCTTTTTTTAACAGCGGTCTTTCCTTGCGCATAACATTTCGTCGCAAACCGCAGTGCCATATTTCGGCCGGAGTCATATACCATCATTAGAAAGTTTCTTTTCAGAACATCTCATGTATTACTAGCAAGATGAGATGCAAAGATGCATCTCACTTAGCATTACCTACTCAGTAGCTACCAGAGTCCATAGTCGTAATTTCTTTATCTCAATACGAATCAAACTTGAGTTCAAATTATGGATGAGTGCACTTCTACTCAGCCCATCGCTTCTTGACATACTGTGCTTGGTGGCCACCAGGTAGCTCGCTCACCCACGCATCAATCTCCTCTTTGACAACACGCGGAACAGTGCATTTGTTCATCGCGGCAGCATCCTGCGTCTTGAGCGTGGGACAGTTCTGGTAACAAGGCGAGTCAAGAGCGCGTTGAAGTGCGTCGCCTTGCCAGCCAAAGAGGTAATCGCCATGATTGGCGTAGCCCGTGCTGTCAAAATATGTTAGCAACAAACACCATCTGGTACAACGGTCCTTGACTTACCCATCACCAAAACTCCAAACAAACGGCTGACTGCCATCTTCCGGCCAATCAGCCTTGTTGTTGAACTTGCTCGTGTCCCAGATGACTTCGTAGAAAAGCTGGCCCATGCGCACGGGGTGGCTGGCTGGGCAGGGGCCGCCGGATTCGAAGGACCCGTATTCTGGGTAGGACATGTGTGCCATATGGTCTGGAGAGTCAAGATTGACACCATCCCAGCAGCTAAGACTTGTTAGTGGACTGGCATGCTGCATTAGTGAAAGGAGATGGAGCAGGAAGACGTACGTGGGAAAGCGAACAGCAGTCATGATACCCGTCTTACACGACTGGGTGGGGAAGTCGAGAGTCTGCGGGTCACGTGTGTTGATAGTGTCCAAGCAAGTAAATGTTAGCTGGCGGAAGCGTTCTGCTTCGTCTTTAGTGCGCGCGTTGACGTCGCCGATGAACATGCGGAAGCCGGGTTGGAAAGCCTGGACTTTGGAGGTTTGCTGGAAGTTGTAGAGGCCGTCTTGCATGTAATACACTGTCATACCTCCATTTACACCGTTGAAACCCGAGTTGGGGATCTGGGGAACGCGCTTGTATGTACCGTTTCTGGCTTTGAAGTATAGAACGGCTGTCCAGTAGTTCTACAGATCCATTAGCAACGTCGTTCAGTTGATAGGTGGTTGGTTCAACATACGGAGAAGTCCTCGCTGAACTGGCACGACGTGCATGTTGACTCTCCCGGCATGTCCTTCTCTGGATCCATGGTGACATTGAAGGAGTTACCTCCAAGAATTTGGTGTAAATGCGGCGAGGGAGCCTGGCCTGGCGTGACCAGAGGGTCTAGCCTGTCGATGACTAGCTGAGCGCATGGGAAGCGCAGAAGCGCCGTTGTGGGTGCAACAAGTGCAAGGGCGGTAGCAGTGAAAACCTTCATTATTACAAGGCTGGTGATGTCCTGCTTGAAAGGAGAAGATGGAGGCGGTAAGAGGTATGCTTCATGCTCAGTGATTTATACAACAGTGTGAAATATGCACGCAACACCGCCGGGATCAAGGGTGATAATGCCGAGCGGGTACGCCGTGTCGCAAAGGCAAAACTCGGTCATGGTCAAGATAGCGATGGGCAGCATCTTACGCTGGATGAAAGCTAATGCGCTTTGGGACTCGAAAGATGAATTTGGATGCACGATGTCGTCGCATGAGTGGGTAGCCTCCACATCAACGCTCCTGGAACACGATGTCGCACGCTCTTCATCCACTTACGTTCACATGACCTATCGTATCGGGCGCTCATGTCATCCATAGTGCTGCTGATCGAGTTGCAAATACTTAATCGTCGGCTTGGCCAGTTTACCATCTCATGATCATGCTGAGCTGAACGTATTAGGTCGCCAACAGCACCGCTGTGATTGGTAAAGGTTCCCCTCGAGTCCGATTGAGTCCAGTGATGCTACTCTTCGATATTCCACAAGTATTGGAGGTCTTGTCATGCCGTCGGCAGTTGCATGCACATGAGCGGCGGAACGTACAGCGCCCCACCTGTACAACGAGGTCTCCGATTACCAAAGAACTGTAAGTGGTTGATCCGCTTCTCGGATAGGATGATATTCGCGGACGTTGGGACAAGGTTGCGTGAGCCTCAATCTATTCTACTTTGCCGTCGCGCCAAGTTGTGGGGTACCAATCCTTACCATTTGTTTATATTGTCCAACCCCCGTTCCTCATCAACGCGTGCCATTCGTACGGATACGCTGGCATGGTACAAAAGAATTTCGCGTTTGTCATTGGCCGATCATAAGGTGCCCAGCTGGATAGCGACGGAGGCCAAAGGGTTGTAGTCACGTGCTGATCGGATTATTGAAGCGTGCAGTGGGCCGAGAGAATAGGCTGTTGAAGAGAGTGGGATCTGATCGCAAGGAACGAGCCCTTATCAACCGGGTACGATCCCATGGAAGCAATATAGTCCATGTGGTGCTGTCAGGTATACACTCCAGAATCTCAAATATCCTTCTGGAACGTCAACCACTTCCGCTCTTCAAACCCGGAAGCTTTTGCATCTCTTCTCATTGGACGTCTTGTCGCACGGCATTTCTTCTCTTTACTGGTTAGATCGAAGTCAACCATGAAAACCAGTACTATTCTCGCGTGCTGGGTGTCAGCTGCATCTGCCGCCTTCGACTTGAATCGTGGGGGTGCAGTACTCAAAGCGCCTCAAGGCGACTCGTTTGCCAGCGTAACAGGCACTGTGAGTGACTCTCGTACTGCATGTGATATGAGTACTAACTGCATGTACAGTTCACAGTACCGAACTTATCGGGTAGCAACCGACTCTCGATCTGGGTCGGCATAGGGGACACACTTGAACAGGAGAACGTACTCGGTGGTGGCATCGTGTACAACAGTACGCTCAGAAGCTTCTCTGCATACTTCCCCGGTCCGGTGACAGATACCACTTCGACGGTTCCTGTTGCCAACGGTAATTCAATCACCGTGACAGTCAGCGTGGCTACTGCAGGGGGTACTGTGACGATTGAGAACAAGACGCAGAACAAGAGGACAACACAAACACTCGCGGCCCCGAATGGCGTGGATCCGTCCTCTCTGACTGCGCTGGCGGTAAACTGGTTCGTGCAGGCATACCAGGTGATCCCAGGCCAGCTTGTAGCTACACCGAATTTCGGAACAGTGTCGTTTACTGCAGTTTCGGCAACTACTAAGAGCGGCGCGAATGTCCCGCTCTCCGGCGCAGGTCGATATGAGATACAAGGAACGAGTGGACAGGTTAGTTGTACATGGTGTACCACCCGACCCTACTAATATCTGATTAGATGTACTCGAAGACAACAGTATCGAACACTGGTATCTCCGTGCAGAGACAGGCGTAGAAAGAAGGTTGCGATAGTGTTGCTCATGTTCGGAACACGATTTGGGAAGTCGCTGCCTCGTCGTAGGTAGTCGAGAATAGATAAGCTTGGGCTATTTCGCTGTTCCATCGATATTTCATGTACAAAAACGCGTGTAATAAGACAGAATGATTGCGCGACGATGACCGGGAGAGTTGGTGAAGGCCACTGGTGATGATGTGGTGAGTAACGCGCAGGCGATGACGTTCGCTTGGCCTCCCCTCCACATTTCTCGACGCGTCGCGACTTCCACCTGCGTCGTGCGACAACACCGGCAAGATGCGCTTCAAGGCGTCAATACAGAACATCAATACCTTTACGAGTAGGTGCATAGGCAGACGCTTCAGTCTGCAACTAACCCCATCTAGAGCTCACGGCGTCGCTCAATTCGCTCGGCCCGCTCGCGTGGGTGAAGCTCAGCGAGGAGCAAGTATGCTTCACCATCATACCAGAGCAGGGCACTCAAGTATGGGCGTGAGTAGACGCCTCATACCTCGGTGTCTCTCGTTCTAACCGCATGCAGTGTCCTCTCTATTGTAAGCATACCGTCTCATCTGTGACTGGCTCGATGTTAATGCGCCGCGCAGGACTCCATCTTCGAGACAATCAGCGTGCAATCAGCAGCGAACAACGTCATCAACCTCGAAGTTCCGCTCACGTCGCTGAACCGCGCCCTCAAGTCGGCCCTCAATGCCACGTCGGCCCAGATACGCCTCACCAAGAAGGACAACCTGCCCATGCTTGCCCTCACCATCGTCACCACGACCTCCTCGAACACGTACAGCGCCTTCCCTGCAGCCACAGCCAACAACGACGATGGCTTCGACGCTGCCTTTGACAATGAATTCGGTGGAGGAAACCGCGAGACCATTGTCACGCAGGAGATACCCGTGCGGGTGCTTGCGCCAGACACTGTAGCGCATCTGCATGAGCCCGTCTGTAGAGAGCCAGACGTACACATCATACTGCCTCCTCTGATGCAGCTGAAGAGCATCAGCGACAGGTTCACCAAGCTCGCGCTGGCAGACACCAAGGCCAGTACCGCGACGACGGCATCAAGGACACGACTAGAGGTTGCCGCCAACATGCACGGCTGCCTCAGGATGAGGATCCGATCCGACGCCATGAACATATCCTCCATCTGGACCGATCTTAGCAATCCAGAACTCGACCCTGGCCACGTCGCTGGTGGAGAGGATGGCGTAGCTGAACACCCAAGCACGCGTATGAAGCAGCTGGGCACGGCTGACGGGCGTAGTGAAGAAGGCTGGGCTACAGTGAGGATCGATGGGCGTGACTGGGGCAAGGTCATGAGTGTGGGTAGGCTGGGGGGACGAGTTATCGCTTGTAAGTCGTACAAACTTTAAATCTACCAACATGCTGACATTCTCGAGGCTTCTGTCATGAGCATGCACTCATCCTCTATGTTTACCTACCCAACGACAATGGCGATGACGAGTCGGTCCTGACAGTACGTTGCACTCTTCACACCCTCGCTCACCAGACTGACATCACAGCAGTACTTTATCAGCTCCTATAGCGCATAGCTACCTTCGCGCTCATGTCATCCTCACGAGGCACAAACTAGATACCTTTGATCACGCGACACCGCATACCTCATCACCACCATCCATCGTACCAGACATATGATCTTGTGATGGCGTGCGCTGCACGTTAACACGCCGACGTGCGAGCCAGATTGACCACAACTCTCGACTGTGTCCAGAAATGCGCATAACTGGTTGTGCTACTCGTGTACGGGCTACAATTGGAGATGGAAGCGTCGGCAAAACTAGCACTCTATTAGCCGAAGGCAGCAGAAGGATGCCTAAATTACCAACCCGCTTGCACCACGCCGAGACAAAGTCTCATGCTTTGAATTGACTTCTTACGACAAGTATAAAGTCGGTTACTCCTCTCAGGCGTCCGCTTCATAATTCCCAAAACACAACATGGATGAATGGAAAGGAGCCCTTTTCAATTTCACCTTCACCGCCTCTTTGCCTTCCCACCCATCTGACTTGAGCGACGTTTCTGTAGTCAATACCGACAGCTCGTGCATCATTACAAATCTTGCGACTGAACTCGTTCATCATATCATCGACTACATACCTCCCGCATCTCAGATCGACTTCGCATATACCTGCAAGCATTTGTTCGCATGCTCTGCAGACGTTCTCAAACGCCATCGCGACGCTCATACAAAGTATTGTGTCTCGTCTGATATTGACCCAACGACTGTTCCCACACTCCTCCGAAGCGCTTACGGATATGGTGACCCAATCCCAGCCTGGCACGTTCGAAGTCTGGAGGTTTGGTATGATCGCACAGGATGGGATGCATGGAAGACGCTTGACTTCGATGTTCCAATCGATCAGAGCTCACGGTCGCCAACAACCTGGGAGTTCATACCCGGCGAAATCGACGACTATATGGAGCCATTAGATCAAGCACAGAGTGATCTTATTCCCGGTGCACGCGCTGAGGAAGCACGTACACAAATTATTGATGGCTATGACATTTACCTGAAGGCCCTCCTCGTTGCAAATTGTCCTAGGCTTCGAGACGTCAAGTTCGTCATGACGGCGCGCGATGGGGCGGTATCGAGGTCATGTCTCGACTGGCTTCAGACATTTATCAACGACTCTCACAACAAAAAAACTTCTTGGGGACCTGGCCTCACAAATCTTCGTTCAGTCGCTGTTGGTCTGCCCACCGGAACTTGGATGGATTCGGCCTATCATCCCAATACCTGGCCTTGCAACACAGTGTCTCTGGTTCAGTTCCTCCGTCTCCCAAGCCTCGAAAAGATATACTTTAGAGATTGCGTGGGTAATTTCCAAGACAGGACGCCCTGGAAGAATCTTCTACCTGCTGGAACCTCCCCTGTCAAACATCTCTTCCTGGACAGTTGTGGGGAATTTGGGCAAGAATTTCTCACTGCTCTTACTGCCGCCCCATCAGGACTCATCACAGCCTCTTTCCGCGCCGGCGATGCTCCTTGTCTCGAGGACGCGGACGAACTCGTTCGCAATCTCGGCACCTACCAAGGGAACACCCTGGAAAGTCTGATGTTCTATGACTATCATGACAATCCCCATAACATTCACGGCTATCGCTGCGCAGCCTTCCGCCCAGAAGAACTCAGCAACATGAGGAAATTAAAGCACCTCTGCATGGACATCCAAGACATTGAGCTCGAGGCCTACTACAACAGAGACGACAGCGCAGAAGATTGGGAGAGCGATGGAGCGTATTTGGAACGCTGCTTCTTGGAGAGTGTATGTAACTACGAAGCCCTAGTTCTGTGGGGATCGCTCAGCGAATCTTATATCAAATGGGAACCGAACGAGGAACAGGGCTTTGAAGATGCCATCATTTCTCTGATCGGAGGACGACCTAGACGAAAAGATACTCTCACGAATGAGAGAAATCGCAAGTATAACACACTGTCCCTGTTCGGAGTCCCAGAGTCCGGAATCGGAGCGACGAAAGCTGTGTATCTGGAGAACGTGGAGAAAAGCAGTGGGCCCATCACTACTTTTAGTCCTGGACGCGGAGGAGAACCCTCGCCGAACGAAAAAAGCAAGGTCTGGTTCCGTCGCGCGATTGAAGTAGCGCGGAAGAGGGGCAGGGATCTCCATACGCTCACGAATCGCACCAAGCCGCGTCATGAGATTCAGTTCCCTGAGGCGCCTGACAAGTATGATCTCAAAACTGGTCCGTGGGGCGAGAGACCAGCAGATTGGGTCTTCAATGTGTATACGGGTCGTAGGGAGCCCAAAGGCTGTGGCAAGTGTGGGAACTGCGATGTTTGCTTTGGGTATTATAGTAAGGAAATGTGGGATGGGCTGGAGAAGGCGCCGAGAAGGGTGAAGTATGATGGGAAAGATGAGAGTCAGACCAACGATCGGGATCGAATGAGAAGTTGAGAAAATGGTGCGAGAGACGTTTGCTTACACCAAACGTTATCTATCAGTCTATTAGGCACACGAAATGGAGGACGCAAATACGTTCATGCCTAGAACAAAAAAGAGGAGGTGATTCACTTAGTAAATATGAGTGTCACGCCAAGAAGACAACTGCACACATCTGGACAGAACAGTCACATTCGAAGAATACAATGTATTCATCATCGTCAACCCATCAGCCACCATCTACTTCCCCGCATTATCAACATGCTCCCTAAGCTCCTTCTCATTGTCCTTCGCCAACACACCCCCATTCGACTGCGTGGCCACAACCGAGCTCCGTCTCCGCTCCGCCTCATGCGCCTGTTCCGTATCCGCATAGTCAACTAGTAGCTCGCCCTTCTTGCCATAGCGATGCGGCAAGTTATGCGCAATACCTACGACATCAAATGGACCGCTTGCCGCGTGGAAGATCTCATCCATTTCCTCCAGAGACCGGTATGCAGTCTCTGGGAAGAAGAAGTATACCGAGGGTACCATTGCAGCGTTGATAACGGCAAAGATGATGTAGGTCTGGTAGCCAATGTTTGCGAAGGCAGGGGGCGTAATCATTACGACTAGGAAGTTGAAGATCCAGTTCGCTGTGGTGGAGATGGCGTTGGCGGGCGCGCGGATGGATAGTGGTGTGATTTCAGCGGGATACAGCCAGGTCATGCCTAACCAGCCGATGGCGAAGAAGGAGTTGAATACGAAGAGGAAGACGGTGGCGAGGAGACCCAGGCTTGTGTTGCCGATGTTGCTGGTTGCGCCTGCTAGCACGGCCATGGACATGGACATGCCAGCCGCACCGAACATCATCAAAGAGCGGCGTCCGAACTTCTCGATTGTGAAGATGGCGATCCAACTAGCCATCCAGTATTCGGTACCGTTGCAGGCGGATAGAAGGCGACTGAGGAAGGGCGAGAGACCGATGGAGTTTTCGAAGATGGTTGCGGCGTAGTATGTTACCTAAATATTGAGGTCAGAACGGGCTGGAATAGACGCGGTAGTAGTAGTAGTAGGTTACCAGATTGATGCCAGAGATCTGGAGTGTCGTTAGTCACTATCTCTTTTCCTGTTGGGAAAGCAGAACTTACCTGTTGAAACATCTGGTTGACATAGCCCAACACAGTGCGGTGGAAGTTGCGGTTCTTGTTCCGCTTGAAGCAATCGCGGAAGCCACCACGCGACATCTCCTCAGTAACATCCTTGACAGCCTGGAACTCGGCTTCGACCTTCTTGTCGTCCATAGGAAGGTCGCTCAACGCAGCCAAAACTTCAAGAGCCTCTTCCTCACGACCCTTCAGTACCAACCAACGCGGGCTTTCGGGAAGACCAGGAATCATAACGAGAATGAACAGGGCCAAGATGATCTGGAAAGCGATAGGGAAGCGCCAGGCGATGCTGCTGGGTTCGAGGAAGGAGAAGCCGAGATCGAGCCAGTAGCTAAGCATGACACCGAAGACGATCATGGAACCTTCAATCATGACCATCTGCCCTCTGCGATGTGGTTTCGAAGTCTCGGACTGCCATGTCGGGACTGTGCTTGTGTTCATGCCGTTGCCAAAACCGGTAATCCATCGTCCGATGATGAGCTGTGCGAGTCCGTACGATGCTGTTTGGAGGATGGCTCCGACTATCATGATAGCGCTGCCGATGAAGATGGTCTTCTTGCGCCCGAGCATATTACCGAGCCAGATGGTTGCTACGGCGCCGAAGAAGCAGCCCAGTGTGTAGGCACCGACTAGACGGACATTAGCGACGTTGGGCTTAGATGCTGAGCGATCTTACCTGTGATGGCTTGGATAGTCGCGGCATGGCTTTTCGAGCTTCCTGGGGGTGGGTTGTTGCTGTCGATTTCGGGGAAGTATTTGATGAAAGAGCCCAGCGTGAGCAAACCGCCCATTACACCCTGATCTGAGCCAATGTTAGAATTGATACCAACAGTGATGGCATGAATGCTTACCATAACCAAAGAGCGCGAAATCTGTGCCTGCTATCACAGCAATAGCAATGTTGAGCTTAGTGCCCTTGAGGCCATAGAACTTGCCCATCTTGTTTAGTAATACCAACGATCAATGCGTGTCGTGCCAAACAACGAGGTAAGAAAGGCGTTGCAACAAAACAACAACACAAGAGGCCAGCTCGCTTCCACTTCGTGCGAGGTGCGATCGATGAGGTACGACAGCAGGCGCGACGACCCTCTCTTAAGAAAATGTGAAAGGACAACCGCAACTCTCTGCCACCAATGTAACAGTAGAGTCCGTCCTCACGCCGCCAACCCAGCAATAACGCCGAACCGCCCTGTCTACCGGCGTCATCCCCACAGTTTGCTCTCGACGATGACGTTTGGTCTGGAGCCGCTGGTGATCCCAACCCCGTGGAGTTTGGCGTGCGGAGAAAGACACACTACCCGA